ATAAGCCCAAAAAGGGGGCTGTAGCCGAGCAAACAGGGTCTGAAAAACAGCGCTAGGACCAGGCTGCTGGAGACTGAAGCGGGGAGGGGGGGAGAGACGACCCTATTTCCACCCCTGCTGCGCGTGCAGCATCGTACCCAGGCCGGAGGGCTTTCGGGATGAGACGTGCTGAAATTCAGAGCCTCATTGGCCTGGGCCGCGCTGGTGAGCGAGGAGCGCCGCTTCCTCGGGGCTGCCAAGGCCCGGCGAGCTATGACTCATGCGCCGCAGCGTCACCGGCGAACCTCTCCGTCCCCCTCGGTCTCCGCGGCCGGGAGCTGGCGCTCAGCCCTCAGGCCTAACGCGTGCAACCAGAGCGAAACGCGACGCGGCAGGGACAGGCGAAGGGCCCTTTCCTACAGGCCTCGGGTCACGTCGCGTTTGCCACGGGCTAAAAAAAATAATCGGGATACAAGCAAAGGAGGCTCGGTGCGCGGCGGCGAGAGATCGGCCACCCCAGGTCGGGGCTGGCGGGCTTCCGGAGAGAAGAGCACCGGGGCTCGCCGGCTACTTACGGGAGGGCACCGGTTTCTTTGGACGCTCGAGTCCTTTCGCGATCTCAGCATCACTGTCATCGCGAGCTGCAAACAAATCCCTTCCCCGCGAGCATCCCTTCCCAGCCAGCCAGCCCTCCTGGGCGAAAGCACAACCTGAGCGCCGCCAGACACCGAGCCTCGTCCCCGCTAGTCCCATCCAAGCTGGGCTCTCCCCGTTTCTGACACCGATTGCAAACGACCCGGAGGGGGTTACGGATCTTGTCAGTCCCTTCCCAGCCAGCCCGGCCGGTGGGTATTCCCCACCCTGACAGCCCACTGGAGAGAGAAGAGGAGGAATCTATTTTTGCCAGGAGCTGCTATTAAAATAGCAGTCGTTGCCTCGCCGCATGCACCCACCTCTCGCAGCGGCTTTGGAAAGTCTTAACGAGAGCGGCAGGCTGAGGCTGCTGTGAAATTAAATTCAGAGCTGTACAGCGAATGGCACGAAATTACAGGCTACGGCTGCCCTAGGGCTGAAGCTCCTCCGGAGATGGGAGCGTTTTGCCCTTTGGAGAAAAGCATCCAGGGAGCAGCAGGAAGAAGGTGGGATTGGGGAAGCGGATGAAGACGCCGCTGAGCGGAGCCTTGGTGCAGATTCAGATGCTGGGACAAAGGAGGGGACAGCAGGTTCCCACCAGGACGTCTGCATCTCACTGCAAGCTCCGGGCTCGCTCCGGGGTGGTCCGACACAGTGCTGCCTGCCCCAGATTCCTCGCTGTCCCTACACCGGGGCCCGAGGGCTTGCTGCATCTCAGCCTCCCTGCAAACACACCTTCCTCAGCAGCTTACTGTAACCCGCCAGGCCGTGATGTGGCAGGGAGCTGCTCCTTTCTGCCACCTCCGTCACGGCGCAGAGATGGGCTGCACAAGCAGGGCCTGCTACCACCTAGCAGGAGCTCGTGCACGCGAGCTAACAAGGTCACCCGGCCAGAGCCGCAGCGTAACCAGGTCCCAGACACCAAAACGCCTCGTTTACGGCATGCATTTCAGCTGGATCGATAGATGGCAATTTGCCTCCCTGGCGTAATTATTTCCACTTCAGGAACGCTTTTCGTCCCTGTAGCTATCGTGGATTTTTGAAGGGACTGTTCCACTTTGTCGCCCAAACCTTGGCACCAAGATCTTCCCCGTCCTCCCTTCTCCAGCGCAGCATTAAGACTGACACCTTGCATACAGTTAAAGCATCAGTTTGGTTCTCCTGAAAACAGAGCCCAGCTCAGCCCTCACCAGCTGCCTCCCCATCCATCACAAATTAAAGCCTGCAGCGCTGCTGCTGCTTTAGATTTGTTCAACTTTAAGCTTCCAGCAACGGAGGTGCTTTTCTCTGCTGCACTGAAGACTCCTTCCTTGCCCGTCACCCCCTCGCTGCAACAGCGCACCACGGTCATTTTAAGCGCTCGCAGCTACTTCGTCCACGCTGAACAAAAAGGGAGAGCGCCATTGCTTTTAACTGCATCTAGGTATACCCCAACACTCCTTCAACACCCAGCCAGCCACACCAGAGAAACACAAACCACAGCCCCAGGCATGTGAAGACTAGCACAAACATTAGGTACATTTTAAAATACACTCACCAGGCATCTCCGAAGAAAAACACCTACAGCTTAGCTGCTGCTGCCTGCTCAGGAGCAACCAGCACAGCCCCTTGCAGCTTCTGGCCTCTTAAGCAGCTACAATTTAGTGCTAATTTACACCTGAGCCCAGCTTTCTCCTCCCTTTTCAGCTCTGCTCCTTAAAGCAGCAGCTGTGAGGCCACTTCTCATTTTCCTCCTGGCACAGGTGGAGGAGCTGGAGCCAACTAGTGCAGTGACTTCACCCCATCACATCATAAGTCAGCCACAGCCAGAAGAGAGGGACCCACGAGTCCTGTTTCCCCATCTCACCACTCCCCACAGCTAGATGATGTTTGTGTTGTGCTCCTTCTGTAGTTTTAGCATCAGGACAGCAAGCAGTGGAACAGCTCCAGGCTGGACATGATCCAGCAGTAATTGCAAAGCACACTCCTTGGAGGGAGATTGAGCTGATGCAATTGTACCAGGCTCTGGAGCGGCCCAGACCAGAGCCAGCTGGGCCCCATAGGAAGTTGAATGAAATCACAGAGGTCTATGAGCATCCAGGTACCTCTGGGTCTGCTGGAAGATCCTGTGCAAGTTACATTTCCTTCTCTGGACTTTTGTGTCCCCTACAGAAATCCGGGAACCTTCACCACAGCTTAGCATCGAGGGTTAACAGCAGGCTGAGAGCATCAATACCCCACTTCAGTGGGAGTAATGGGTACTCAGCCTGGCCAGGATCAGCTCCATCTGTGGAGCCTGGCTCTTTGACCTAAGGAGCAGGTCCTGGAAGCTGTTCCCAACACAGCATGCCCCAGAACTCCTCTATCACAGTGATAGTAATCTACAGGAATGGTTAAAGCCAAGCACAGCCTAAACATTGCTGTTATTACAACCTCTGATTAAGTCTAATTACAGAGCAGCTGAAGTAAGCACAGAGCTTTTCTAGGTTCTGTCTCACAGATCCTTCTGATGCTACTCACACACTCAAGACAACGCTAGCACAGGGGACATAAAGCTGCTAGATCAGCCATGTTATTTCCCCAGCCCTTCACAATCAGGCTCTGAATGTCTACAGGTCTCACAGACACTTACCAAACAACCCTACAAAGATGAAAGGGAAGACACGGCACCTTTTTTCACCCCTCTGGCCCACAAGGGAAAAGAGACATTGGAGCTGAAGGTCACTTTTGACCCTAGGAAGTCGGAACAAAACAGAAATAAAACAGAAATGACTAAAATCAAGGCTGAAAATAAGGTGGCTTCTCCTCTGCAGAGCACTGAAGAAGCACACCAGCCTCCCAAGAGAAACAGTAACAGCCAAAAAAGCATGCTCAGAAAAGGTACCATGCTGCCCCAAAGTCTCTTTGTATACCCTGCGTTCCACAAAGCCACAAAACCCAACTCTAGGAGGCCAAATATCCTGAAGTACTTTGAATTTCTGTTTTTAAATCACCCGAATTTCAAGCCTCATATGTAAAAGCCAACATCGGTCTCCCTGTCTCCAATTGCAGGCTATTACGCCTTCCTGTAAGGCGCTCTGTAGAAAGCCAAGCCCCCACCCTCCTCACACCTTCCCGACTGCTGGGGAAGGTGTGAAACTTTCCATCCACAGACTCTACTTTTACACTTCCCCAATTATCGGTCTCACCAGCGCGAAGACACTGAATTCTTTAGGAAAGGCAGGACGGTTCTGGAGACTCAGCCCGAGGAAGCATGGAGACAACACGTGGATCAGATCTGCACCCTCAGAGCTGCTCTTCTTCCTCCTCCAAAGGGAGCGGATCACCCGAATTTTATTGCTCCTCAGTTAATGATACCCCACAACCATAACTACATTGACTTCCCATGGCTGCGAGCATCAAGATCGACGCACCATGCTGACCATGGATGGAAGGCTAAGGAGATCTCCTTTCTTGAGGAGTCCCTTCCTGGGTGGAGAGGCAGAAACTCAGAGAGAGTTTTACTGCCATGTTACTTCTCCAGCTCTCCTGCCCATTTACCCAGGCTCCCTGGGATAATGGTACCCAAGGATGTGATGGACTTTAGGGCTGGATCATACATGTTCTTTGCTGCAGGTGCATTGGCTGTCACGGAGTCTGTGAGCCATCCCCCGAAACAGCCTGCGTGAAGCAAGGGACCGGGTGCATCAGCCCTAATTCAGCACCTCACCAAGACAGTTGTGGCACCAGCATCAACAGTGGCAGAGAGTGTTCTTGCGTGCGATGAACGGCATCGCGGGCATCCCCAGGGCAAGGCGAGAGCAGTCAGCAGCCGATTAGCATCCTGATCACAAACAGGCAGAGCCTCATCCTGATCTCAGAGGGCCAACCCCCCATTTTTAAAATGCTTTATTTGTAAATGGCCGATCACTGCTTTACATAGAAAAAAAAAATCCTGTTAAAATTGCCTCAAAAAAAATCTTCCAAGATAGAAATAAAAGGAGGGGAGAAGGGAAAAATAATCAAGATGAACACTGTAAAAAGAAACAAGGAAAAAAATGGGGAGAAGAAAAAAAGAAGAGGGAGCTGTGACAGGGATGGACACAACTACGCCTCTTGGGTGCGGGTATGCTAGTCCAAGGAGAAACGAAAGTCTGAGGACAGGGAGGGATGATTCCCAGTAGGAAGGGGGCTTTGCCACCGCTGCATTTACGGCAGGGGGCCTCTCAAGGGGCCACGTGGCGGCACCCCGGGGGGCCTCTGTGCAGGCCGGGGGGGCA